AGACAAAAATAGACAAAAAATGTATTAAAGTAAAGAGAAAATAAAGAGAAAGTAACTCAGCTGATGTCCTGTCCGTTCGTTCACCATACAAATACGCTACAGTAAATTGTAACTACATTAAGACATTACTAAACATTTTTGCCCCCCCCCTGGAAAGTTAATCGATTTTTTTGCCCCCCCCCCCGCCCCCAGAAAGTTTTCTGCGGGCGCCCATGCCCCCTGCAGCTATTTTTTTCTGCTACTCTCCACCCCTGATTATAATTCTAATCATGTTTTAACATTTTTTTAGCCAAAACAAAAGTGAATTAATTAACCGAGCTGTTGGTTCATTCCTCGAGAACAAAACATAAAAAAAAATAACACGTGTCATTCAATCTTGACTGGCCCTTTGCTGGAATTGAACTCTAAACCATCAACTACAGGTGTGCTCAGTTTAAACCCTTCGACCACCTAGTCATCTTGTTATCGAGGAACCTTTATTGAACGATACTGTAACACAGGAAGTTTATACACCTCACGTGACTTGCCGACTGCGTATAACCACTTCGTTCCTTTTAAGGCTCAACTGATCCATTTAAGCCCTATGTTTTAAAGGGCTTCCAGGAAGCAACCTATATATATTAACACGCAACTTCCTTTTACTTTATCTTTTGTCTAGATCAGTAGTTGCCTACATTTCTGGGTGGGTAATTTTGGATAACTGTTTGAATCCTACGTGGATTAACGGACCGTTACAGAGGGATTAAATCGCCCCATTCCCGTCTGATCTGTTTCGCTCAGAATCTTAATGTGTATTGCAAAACTGCGGTCAGACTCATGTGACGCTGTGTTTGGACCTGTCCTGCAGTTTGTAGGGTAAGAAGAACAGCCACCATTGAATCACCAGCCCGTTGGGGGGAGGGGCGGTGGTGTCACAAACTCTACTGACTCCACTGAAAACATTTCACAGCACCTTCATTACAGAATATTCTTTCCGGCCCATCCGTCGAGTAAGTAGTAGGTCTCACGAGTTTGTTTTGTTAGTCTGTTGTTTTCTTTTAAGGCGAGTAAGACTGCGTCGTTCACATTCATGTCAGCGCATAAATTGTTGCCGTGAAAGACAAATATTTTCACGATTTCTAAAAGTGAAAGCAGAAACAAAGATAAAGCGAATTTTTTTTCCTTCTTCTTTTTTTCCCATTACAAATGTAATGCTTTGGTGAACTGTTAATGGGGCCAACCAAAAAAGATTCCTTAGGCGAGTCCAAAACTGGATCAGAGAGCAACAACACGTTACCTGGCCGGGGGGAAACCACTTCGGCTCACCAGCGGGGAAACCCCATGACGCAATTTTTTTTTTTTTTTTTTGGTGACGTTATAAAGACTATTATTAAATTATTACTTATTTTTTGGGAGGGCTTGGGGGTTGGGGAGGGGGTCGTAAGCACAATGCATGTACGATTATGGGTTGATTTTTTTATTTTTTTTTGGTCGGGAATTGGGGGAAGGGAGGTGGAACATTTGATTAAAAAAAAAAAAAAATTGTGCGTACGTAATAATAAAATGGATGGCCCTTTATCTCTTTGTCAGATTAAAAGACAGATAGGTTTTTCGCCCCCGTTGTTTTTCAAGCTAATCAAAATCAAAGCCGTAGTGATAATACACTTTTCAACGAGTCGATTCGTTCTCACCTCGTCAGCCTGATGGCCTGGTGAGCTTTATAATCAACGCATGGTTGGACAAAATCCTATGTAAGGTTTTATACACGTTTTCTTCGTTAGTTGTATACATTTAATTAATCCATTCTATAAGTTGACCGAACATTGCTCTTGCTGTCATCTCGGATACTACATTTCAGCTTAAGTGTCATTTTTTAAATTTAATTCTGTTTTTACTGGTGATTGTTCGCCGATAGAACCTTCTTGCAGACACGTTCGTTGATTTGTTGCGTCATTTTTTTTTTCTTCAGGTTCTTCCCATACTTAATTTTGCTCATTTCTTTTACCTAACCGGACTGCAGTCTCTTGAGCTTATTGCCATTTGACAGAACATTGCACTTATTTTTATTGTGGTTGGTAGATGTAAGAAAAGATTAAGATTAAAGCCCCTTTAATGGACACAGAAGTCCACAGGGCAATTGACGCATTCACACGGCAAAGGCGTATTCACCTGAATGCAGAGGCATCGCCAGTCAAGGTAAAAAAACAACCACAGGTGTAGCCGTTTGACGTAGCGGAAAGACGTTAAATGGTTTTTATTTTTAGAAGTTACCATTAATTTTAATATTTTGGATAAGCTTTAACAAACGATCGAGTAAGGTAGTTAAAAGTTAAGGATCATTTTAGTTTAGGGAACCGATCTTTAGTTAGTCTTTAATGAATTATGTGATATCTGATTGATCTGTGACTTATAAACTGGACAGTCCTTATTTATAAAAGGTTGTGTTTTACCGTTTTTTAAAATTAATATTGGAATTTATCTATTAAACTAACAACTCTTATACTTCACTTAATTTAAAAAAAGAAAAATAATTGTGCCTCTTTTTTAGTAGCTTGTTTATAATTTACATTGTGATTGTGTAATAAAGTTTTGATTAAATAATTTAACAAGCACTGAGCTCGTCTGCGTCATTGGCCGCGGCGCTACGAAAGAAGGATTTAACTTTCCTCAAGAGCAAAATATGATGTGTAAGGAATTTGTAAACAAAGGAATTTTGTTTCCCAAAAATATATTTCCGGACAACAGTTAAGAAAAAAGTAAATGAACGGGAAAACCCGACTTTCGTAAATTGATGTTTTCCCCATGTTATGGAAAACCCCGTTCGATTAAAGCTCTGTATTAAGCATTAAATCGGTCACAGTCCTAATTACCAGTAACCTACATGTTACGGGTCTTAAAATACATATACCTCTTGACCTTCAATTTATTTGTTTTTGTTGGGAAAAGGATTGGGGCACGGAGGTGGTGTGTGACATCATGAGTTTACCCATGGCCCACGTGAGTAGTTCTAGATTCAGATCTAGTAGGTCGTGGTTAACCGCACCGGGTGACACCAACGCTCCTACTCCTATAGCTACGCTACTGGGCCCACTAATAATTATTGAATGGGACTATTTGGAAATGGAAAGTTTTCTTTTGTTTTCTATTGATAGCGTTTAATTGTTTAACGTGACATTTCCGCCCCACTCACCCTTTTCCCCAATGGAACGTTCAATGCATTTCATTAATGCTTGGAAATAACTAAACCATTGAATGTGTATATTGTGTACTGACATTAACCATACACACTATACCACAGCTATATATGCAAGTAAACCAACAAAACATGCCCCCCCCCCCCCCCCCCCGTTTTTTTTTGCCCCTCAATTTTATCAAGTGACATAATAAAAAAAAACTTATTAAAATAATGAGGCAAACTTAACTGAAGCATAAAACTCTTTAGTTCATCAATGTTTTAGTCCCCTGCCACTCCCGCCCCCGCTCGCCGCACCCCACTCTACCCCCTTTTACTACGAACCGAACAGATGTCCCCATGAGAAATTGACAATCGAGATAAAAAAAAAATTAATTTTCAATTCTACATGAGCTTTGAGAATTGTCCCGTAAAAAATAATCAAACCACATCTATTGAAATATCTTACACTTTCCATATTTTAAAAAGTATCCTAATTTGTTATATTTATTTGAAGCCTAGCCGTTTTGCTGGTTTGGTTTACCAGTATGATCACAAACTTTTATGGCGTGTCTTTATTGTTGAACAACAACATCGCTTACAAACCAGACTTACTACGTTATTTTAACATGACTATGTTGTTTTATTTTATTACAATTTTTTTTCTTCTGACACTTAAATAATCAACTATAGGCCTACCTTTTAAGTCCTTAGAGATGGCTTCTGCACAAGTTTATGCGTCATGTTTAAAAAAAGTAAGTCTCAAATTTTTATATTTCTTCATGTATTCAAATGAATCTGATGCCCTCATTAACGCCAATGCAAATCCATACATACAAATATTTACCGAAAGACAATTTAAAATACACCATTTTACGTAAAGAAATGTTTGGCTTACAAATAAAGCAAATTAATGGATTGGATTTTTTCTTATCATT